TAAGAGCCATGTGTTCAATATTTCTAAAATGATGAAATCCACATACTAAAATTCACATTTCCTTCCCTCCTTCCTTCCTTCCTTCCTTCCTTCCTTCCTTCCTTCCTTCCTTCCTTCCTTTTCCACGAGCTTCTGTTATATCTTCAAAATTACATGCCATCTTCCTTCCTTCTCTGCACATAGATGAACAATGAGAAAGAGGATTTTTCTTTTTGGATGGGGGGTGGGCTGTGTAATTACTCTAATCATTTTCCTAAAAGTGATTTCACCATTAACTTCTCTTCTCCCCATAGAAGTAGAAACATATTTTACAAAACTATGTTTAGTTTAATTTACACATCCTTTTATGAACAGACCAAGTTCTTTAAGGGCATTTATTCTGCTTCATATAAATAATTGATCAGCCAAGTTAATTTACTTCTGCCTGACTTGGTCAACCTTAATTAACTGCCCTGGAATCAAGACTGAACTTTTTGTTAGCTTAAAATCTTTCACAAGCATGATAACAAGGGCTTTATTTTCTCTAAATTTTCAGCATCAACACTGTAACCAAGGAAATAATCATAATAATAAAGCCCTGCTTTAATTTACTATAAATACATTGGCCTGGACATTATGAATTTTCCAGAATACTTCCAGAGAGCAGCTCTGCTGGCAACAGCAGTAAATAAGCATGCTAAACTCAGTCCTTGTCCTTTTCTACAGGGCCCTCCAGCACAAAATCGAACCTCTGAAACCCATAGCTCTGTAATGTTTCCAAGCAGGATAAGAAGTGGGTCGTTTTGGCTCCTTTAGGCTTTTTGACATCTATGCAATTGCAGCATCGGCCTTTGCAGGGTTATGTTGAATGGATCACCTGATTTAAACAGGCTCAGCTCATCTGGCAGTACCATACAGGAAGGCAGAGGAAGGTTTGGTCTTGTTTCTGGAGGAAGGACATGTTTGTGGGTATGGTGTGGCCATACCTTCATTTTCAGGCACTTTGTATGATTCTACAGTGTTTCTTGCTGTCAGTTTGTCATGGAGCAAGACAGTTGGTTCGTTATAGGGTTAGTTACTCCCCCAGAGAGAAGCAGAGGTTATGTAAACTGGGTGACTGGGACTAGCTTCCTTGAAGAGAAGAGGGCACAACATCCCATGATAAAGAAGATAGTCGCCTCTGCTATCCATTGACTTAATTTCAGATGACTTTAATAATGAAAACTCAGAAGAAAAAGTTGTTTGCAAATGAGTGCAGATGCTTTATATCATTGTATTTTAATGCTTTTCTTTGACCACCTGCCCCTCTCATTGCTGTCTTTCCTAGAATTTTTTTTAGTTTTCTTTTCATTAGGTCCCTTATTCACCACCCAGCACAGGCCTTTACAAACTGGAAATTCTTAGTCATTTATTGAATGGACAAGTTCATGTCTGAAACAGCTACATCTATCCCTTAACTGATTGAGCTTTAGTTTTCTGATCTGTGAAATGGGGATAACATTTACCTGCCTTATTTCCCTCCTAGCCTTGTTATGAGTTTGAAAAGCACATCAGTGGGCTTTTGCAATTTGTGAAGTGTGATAAAGATATAAAGGCTTATTAAATGACTTGGAGCGTTTGATAGAAATACTGCTGGCCCAGACACTGATGGAAATGTTCTTAGACATTGACACTCCTATTTTTTCACATGTGCTTTTCAAAAAGCTGTTTTCTCCTGATTGGTGTGGGAGATTATGGGAAATTTTAAATCTTCCAACCTACATACTACTGTTAGCACTTGACTAATTAAGGACATCCTCAGACCAAAATAATCCTTTATGCAATTTTGGTCCCAAAGCCTGCACTCTCACAAACCTGATTCACAAGCCAAGCTGCTTGGCTTGATGCCTGCAAAACTTGTACTGGAGGACTTGGCAGTCAGCTTTGGAACTGCATGGAGCAAAACAGGGCCTTCTCATCAAATTGTGTATTGGAGACTGTTCTTACTCCACCCACCAGAATGGTGTCTCATCAAGGAAACAAAAGCAGGACCAGTCCCTTAGACACCTGCTCTCAGGCCTGGGATCCCGATGACCGCATAGTCTGAAAGCAACATTCTACCTGCAGCTCTCTTCCCATCACGACAGGCTATTTGGCTAAATATGCCTCATTCTGAGGGCAGGTGTAGAGTTTTTATATATGCAGTGCTTTTGTCTTTTGGGGATCAAGTCTTTGGTATGGAGAGGTATTCCCAGAAAGAAAAATATCTCTATACCTATTTTATCTGTATCTATAGATTTTTTATTTACATATATTTGAGATATATCTTAATAATTAGATGGATTTCCTTGCTACCTACTCTAAGACAAATGCTCTCTTGCTTAAACATCTAACACTGTGCCTCTTCCTTGGTTCCTCCCCCGCCCCTGTTTTTTTGAGACAGAGCCTCACTCTGTCACATGCCCTCTGCTCACTGCAAGCTTGGCCTCCTGGATTCAAGCACTTCTCCTGCCTTAACCTCCGTAGTAGCTGGGATTACAGGCATATGCCACCCTGCCCGGCTAATTTTTTTGTATTTTTAGCAGAGACTGGTTTCACCATGTGGGCCAGGCTGGTCTCAAACTCCTGACCTCAAGTGATCTGCCTTCCTTGGCCTCCCAAAGTGCTGGGATTAAAGGCATGAAACATTGCACCCAGCTCTTTTCCTTTCGTGTTCTGTACAAAGGGCAAGTTTGTGGAAGAGAGACTGAAACACCCAGGGAGAAGTACCTAGGTTTCACAAATTCATTTCTTGAAATGAATTTTTTGGTGATGGACAAGGCACTCATGTTGTCACAAATTATCTTGTTACCTAGTTCTTATATCTTAGGGAAGGTTTTGGTTATTTTTGATAGATTCTTTCCTCTTTGGTCAGTAAGAATATAAGTGCAATTTCTAAAGGACTATAATTATTAGAAAGTCTGATCTGAAGAGATGAGAAAGAAAAAAAATAGTAAAAATCAAGAAATGAGAGTGAATCAGCTGTTGCTTCTGAGTTTGTTTCCCACCTGCTAGTGAAAAATGCCATTCTTAATCTACTTCAGAATTGGATCAACTTAAAAAATATATACATCTTTTGGGTTTATGAAGTCTGTATCAAGTTGGATCATGATATGCAATGAAAGGAAATGAAGAAAGATGTGAATTTTTCTGCCTTTAATTTTTCCATTTGGTTTTTGTGCAAGTCTGCAGAAAACAGACTTCATCTAGTTTCTAGCAGGAAAACAATGTCCTCTAAAGATACCCAAAGACTGAAATTTCCCTGTTGTCACATTTCATGTACGGGGCAGAAATCTATAGCATTGGTTGTACATACGTCCTTCCACGATTGGAACACATTTGGGTAAAAATTTTCTGCCCTTTAATCTGGGATTGGTATTTCACATTAAAGTCTTAATTACTCAGGCATTTCTCAGCTTTCATATTTGAACTCTTCACTTCCTTTTATGACTGGTCTAGGAACTTGGGGCATGACCCTGCCATTTTCATTGTTTTGCCCCCCACGGAACCTCAACTTTAAAAATACTCGTTGTGATTAAGAGCTTGGACTGAACTGAACTGGTTCAAATCCTGATTCCACCATTACTAGCTGTGACTTGTAGTGGACAAATTAAATAACTTGCGGAGCCTTAGTTTTCTCATCCACAAACTGGGGGTAGCAATTGTCATCAGCACTAAATTAGAGAATGTGTGTGAATCACCCACATTACGGCCTGCCTGAACCAACACTGGTGATCAGTAGATGGTTAGCAGTTGGTATTAGCAAATGTTATCTGTCTTTTGTCATCTTTGGACAGGTTTTCTGAGCCAAGTGCCGAATTGGCTCTCTGGGAAAATGGTTTTGTGCCCAGAGAGTAATAAGAATGAATGTGAAATGTATTTACACCCTAGTGATATTTTATAGCTGCTCATTTTGCACTATATATTTTTCTTTTTTTCTCTCTCTGTTTTGAGACGGAGTCTCACTCTGTTGCTCTGGCTCTGTTGCCCAGGCTGGAGTGCAATGGCTAAATCTCAGGTCACTGCAACATCCACATCCTGGGTTCAAGCAATTCTCATGCCTCAGCTTCCCGAGTAACTGGGATTACAGGTGCCTGCCACCATGCCTGGCTAAATTTTGTTTTGTTTTGTTTTGTTTTGTTTTGTATTTTTAGTAGAGACAGGGTTTCACCATGCTGGCCAGGCTGGTCTCAAGCTCCTGACCTCAAGTGTTCCACCCGACTCAGCCTCAAGCGTGAGCCACCACGCCCAGCCCTATATATATATTTTTTCTATTAGACTTTTAGTACTTTTGACCAGGCACCATGGCTCACAGCTATAATCACAGCACTTTAGGAGGCTGAGGCGGGCAGATCGTCTGAGGTCATGAGTTCAAAACCAGCCTGGCCAACATGGTAAAACCCTGTCTCTACTAAAAATACAAAAATGAGCTGGGCATGGTGGTGGGTGCCAGTAATCCTAGCTACTCGGGAGGCTGAGGAAGGAGAATTACTTGAGTCTGGGAGACGGAGGTTGCAGTGAATGGAGCTCATGCCACTGCACTTCAGCCTGGGCAACAGAGCGAGGCTCTGTCTCAAAAAAAAAAAAAAAAAAAAAAAAAGAAGTGTAATATAAACAAATAGCCTGCACATGTTGAAATTTAATGTTTATACCTAATATGCTCCATATGATGACTTGCTGGTTTTTGAACAAAGAAACCAGATATAAGGAAAATTTAATCTTGAATTTTAGGTTTACCCACAAATACTTACTTTTTCTAAGGGTGATAATATATTTAAAACAATACTACTGAAACTTAAATTGGGGAATGACAGTTTCAGACTCAGAACCTGGGGGCCTGGCCCACTAATGAGAGGATAAGATGAGTGAAAGAAAATGACAACTGTTTACAGATTTTGGCAACATTTAAAGCAAGGCCCTTCTCCTTATGCACAACAACTGTTTTAACAGCTGCTTTTTTTTTTTCTTCCCCCTCCTCCCCATCTTGGAAATCCTTGTATCAGGTTTTTGAGTCATGATGCAAGAATCTGGGACTGAGACAAAAAGTAACGGTTCAGCCATCCAGAATGGGTCCGGCGGCAGCAACCACTTATTAGAGTGCGGCGGTCTTCGGGAGGGGCGGTCCAACGGAGAGACGCCGGCCGTGGACATCGGGGCAGCCGACCTCGCCCACGCGCAGCAGCAGCAACAGGTACTGGGCTTCGGACTGCTGGGAAGTGGAGGGTGGTGGGTGCGAATTTTACCGCTGAATTTTACACTTCATCACGATCGGTGTCTTCTGCTCACCTGTCTGTGCATCTTTCTGTCAGCGGGATCTCGTAGCCCGTCAGTCCTCTAGGGTTCCCAGCAGTTGGCTTAAGAGACTAATTTTCAAGCCCTTGGGAGTTGGAAATCTTGCAGGTCCCCTTGTGGGGAGCAGTTGTTGAGAGGAAGTTGGAGTGGGCCTGTGTCAGCCTAAGCTGTCCCTGTTTGGAATAAAATGACTCTTTGGAGAAGTGGCTCTCAGGGCTTTCATACAAAAATTAAAATAAAGCAAAAAACAGGCTTAAGCCTATGGAGAAGAAAGTAAAGGCTAAGGAATAAAAATGAGTAAGGAGAGTTGAAATAAATACATAGGGCCGGGTACGGTGGCTGACGTCTGTAATCCCAGCACTTTGGGAGGCCGAGGCGGGCAGATCACAAGGTCAGGAGTGCAAGACCAGTCTGGCCAACGTGGTGAAACCCCGTCTCTACTAAAATACAAAAAATTAGCCAGGGGTGGTGGCACGTGCCTGTCTTCCCAGCTACTAGGGAGGCTGAGGCAGGAGAATGGGTTGAACCCAGGATGGCAGAGGTTGCAGTGAGCCGAGACTATGCCACTGCACTCCAGCCTGGGCAACAGCAAGACTCGGTACCCCCCCCCCCCCAAAAAAAAGAAAGAAAACAAAGAAATACGTAAAGATGCAGGCAGAAATGGTTAGATAACGTCCAAAACATCTAGAATATGGGCATCACTGCAGGAAGTTGCTTCTCTCTACCTGTAGGATTGGGGGTATAAGGGTGTTTACATATGTTCCCTGTGTTCATGCAGCAGTGGGTTTGTGGCTAAGTCATACTCTTTTAAACTGTCTCTTATTAGTGCCTCCCCAAAATGTCTGTAAGTTGGGACATACTCATTCCTGTTAGTTATACTTTTAACAGGTACAGAACTAGGTATCTGTGAGTGACTGGTAAAATATTTCCAAGTGGTACAGGTGACCATTGGACATCGGAGCAGTGATGTCCAACAAAACCCAAGAAATGGTGTTTTGTTGTCAAAATGTGGATAAAAATTCAAATAAGTAGACAGCATTTGCTTGAAGACTGGCTTTGGTTTCCCAGCCTCTCTTGGAATCAGGAAGTATTATTAGGTTTGGTTAATAATAATAGACGGTTTGTGACCAGTTTTGTTCTTAACTTACTTATTCAAAACATAGTTGTGGTGCCACTCAGAAACAGGTGAATTAAAAAGAATGTTGTATCTTTCGGCCTTTCTGAACGCGGCAGGAACTTTTGTGAGGAAAGGGAAGATAAAGAGAAAGTGCTTCTCAAACCATTTTCTTGGAATTTGTGTCAGAGAAGCTAGCTAAGCTTATGTTTGGGATGCAACTTTGAGACAGGCTGTAAACCATGTTTTATTTCCTCCTTGCTAAGAGGTTTTTTTTGAGACGGAGTCTCGATCTGTCACCAGACTGGAGTGCAGTGGCGCGATCTTGGCTCACTGCAACCTCTGACTCCCTGGTTCCAGTGATTCTCCTGCCTCTGTCTCCTGAGTAGCTGGGACTACAGGCACATACCACCATGCTCAGATAATTTTTGTATATTTTTTAGTAGAGACGGGGTTTCACCATGTTGGCCAGGATGACCTCGTGATCCACCTGCCTTGGCCTTCTAAAGTGCTGGGATTAAAGCATGAGCCACCGCGCCTGGCTGAGTTTTTTGTAAAACATCAGGGATGATTAGATTGTTAGCTCCTTACAAGGTGGTGGAACCAACATGAGACTATGGAACCTGTTGGGAAAAAGATGCAACAAAGCATAAGAAAGGAAAAGTCACAGACCAGCAAAAGTCATAGTTCAGAGAACTTCCTGCAAGTGATTTGATATTTCTTTCATTGGCAATCCAGACGCATTTGTGCCTGTACCACAGGCTCACTTCAGCTGGAATTTGTGATGTTTGTTGTATATAAACTTCGTGCATTTAGGTTAGTGCAGGTGGCCAAATTCCAACCAGTGAGGTTGTTAGCAAAACCCAGCAGTAGATAGTAAAAGGGTCTTTGTGTATTTGTGCTAGTACATCTTCATGTGATGTTCTCAGCCATTGTATTGAGAATAAATAATGTTTTTGAATGCTATCATCTATGCCCTTACCAGAGAAGTGTCAAGATTGACTATTTCTTTTCTTTGTTGTTTTTTTGAGACGGAGTCTCGCTCTGTTGCCAGGCTGGAGTGCAGTGGCACCGTATCGGCTCACGGCAACCTCTGCCTCCTGGGTTCAAGCAATTCTCCTGCCTCAGCCTCCCAAGTAGTGAGGAATACAGGCACACGCTACCATGCCCAGATAATTTTTGTGTTTTTAGTCCAGATGGGGTTTCACCATGTTGCCCAGGGTGGTCTCCATCTCTTGACCTCATGATCCACCTGCCTCGGCCTGCCAAAGTGCTGGGATTACAGGTGTGTGCCACCATGCCCAGCCAAGATTGACTATTTCTTTATGAGGCACTTGAGGTGGGGCTACTGACTGACGTGGTGATACTAAATAATTAGTATTTAGAGTACATGAATTAAATAAGTGGGAAATTAACTTCTGATTTTTATTTGAGGAGCTAAAAATCATTCAGGTTCTCAAAGTAGTGAGTCAGCCAAAAAGATTTACATATAAACCATCAAAACGTGTACGTATACATGTACACACACATACACAACAGCGATAACAAATTGGCTACACAGAATAAAGTTATAAAAGCATATTTCACCAGCATCTTCCTTAAAAAGTATCAGTTGCAAACGTATTTATCCACATCTTCCCTCTTTACCTTCACTCTGACCATTTTGGAAAATTTCTTGTTATGAGTTATTGATATAAAGGTCAAGAAATGTCTTATGATTAGACTTTTATACTGTTTTTAAATGTTTTATGACAGTGTTTTCTCCATATGCCATTGACACGTTTTGGGAAGAAACAAAGCAGTAAGGTCTATCATTGTGGCTAAAACACCATGTATTGTGGTTGGCAAGCCCTTTGAGGTCTTTTAAAATATAACATTCACAGCTGTTCGACTCCCCTAAGTATATGATAAGGCTCTTCACAGGTTGTTGGGGAAAAGGGAAATCTGTAGATGAAATAAAAACTGTAGGATTGAAAATATTTCTACAGGACTAGAGTTATCAGTGTTTTCTTCCAGACTGAAAACTACAACAATTAGACAGTTTCGAGAAATGTGAGCATTCTGCAGTGGACTATGGTTGTTTTCATCATTTTTATTCTACAGGTTTTTACTTGAAGTGAGAATACCAGCAGTGAGAAAATCACAGCCATGCTGAATTCATTACTGCGGTAGTCACACAAAACCACGGATAAAATTTCAATAACTGCAGGCCACAGTTGAGTAAACAGTTGCACTGAAATTTAATTCCTGTTGACTTTTCCCCCATTCCTCGCCAGGGGCACATTCTGATTCCGTAGTACAAAGACAACAGGGGTTACAGCTTTGATTAATGTAGGACAGTGGAAGAGAATTAGAACTGTAAAATATGTTAGAAGTCCGTGGAACACAAAGATCTGGCTTAAAAGCACTTGGTATAAAAACGAGTTAATTATGCTGTGTGTTATATTGAATGCTGGAGGATTTTCCAGTTGCACCAGTACCATCATTGAGGATACCAGGAGAGTTTTTACTTAGTGCCAGGATTTAAAATAAATAAATGCAAACCTTTCCATGTTTGCTACATATTATCAAAGATAATTACAAATTTTTCAGCAAATGCCCTTTTCAGAATGGGAGGGCCCGGACAGATTCACTGTGGAGTGCACACGTTCCATAGTTTTGTTTGTAAGTTGGCTTAATTGCGTTCTAATGGTATTGTGGTTTTTTTTTTGTTTTTTTTTTTTCCTAAAAATGAGTTGACAACTTAGAGAAATGGGGCAAATCTGGCTTTTCCATCTTCTTTTGAAAAATTAGAATATCTGGTAACCTTGGGCTGATAGTCCCGCAAGGGCAACAATTGTTGGGAGATGAATTGCTACAGAAGACAGGGAGCCTGCAGCCCTCCAGCCTGCTCGCCTTCCCACCAGCAGCATTGCTCATTTATGCCTCTAGGTAGTGGAGTTGGCGATTCTGGGCTGGAAGGTAGACTCATCACTCAGAAACCATCAGCCCAAGAGAGGTGCTGCCATTAGCTGGTAGAGCCCGCCAACACACTTACAACTGTCTTCCTTCCTCAAGACTAAATGTATTATCTCCATAATGTTTCAACTCTGTTTATGTCTGGGCCATGAAACTATTATAACAATAGTTTCTAATAATATAATTTGATAGAGTTTCTGAGCATTTTCTTTTATCCATTGAGTAATTCTTTCCCCGATACCATAACTGCTTTTTATTTCCTATTATGCCTGCCCCATTTCTATGTCTGTAAAAGTTGTATTGGATGTGCACTAGTCCATTATGAAACTCAGCAACAAATACTATTAGCAATGACTAAAGTGTTTTTTTTTTTCCTTAAAGAAAGGGTTTTAAAATGTCCAGAACAATTTCATAAACTGTGTGGATTAATGCATTTAAAAAGTCTTGAATTTTAGAAAGCAGAATTTTATTTCCATATTGCTGCAAATGAGAGCTTTTTCAGATAAGCATATTACATAGAGCATAATGTTTAGAAGTTTCTCCATATACAGCATATGCTGTCAGGTCAATTAACAGAATGCATACTAGAAAATGTTTATTCAATAAAAATGAATAGCTGTTAAATAAAACAGCTATTTCTTAGCAACATTCCATTTAATGATGAAGTTTTTGTGGGGTTTCGTTCTTTTTTTTTTTTTTTTTTTTGGTACCACCTGGCAGTTTTATTGTCTGCAAGTGAGTAGAGAGAGAGCTTTGCTTGCTGCAGTTTTGAGGTGTGGCTATCATTTTGTATGAAGAGGGCAGTTTGGAGGGAATCTGTGAGAGAA